ATGTAATTTATATACACTTCTTTTAGAGCAGTGATTCCGAACCTGGGGTAATTACCCCCGCGGGGTAAATCAATTATTCTGGGGGGGGGATATAGATAATCGTCAGTCCAGTTCTTGGATATTAAGACTATTTACTACGGATGATATCATTATTAAAAATGAAGACGTAGCGGCCAAAGTGGAATATCTACGCAAGGATACTACTTGCGGAGTGGAATTTCAAAGTTATAGATTTATCACATTTTGGCGAAAATCTGGTGTCAAATATCCTGCTCTAGGTAACATAGCTTTAAAAATGCCAATACCCTTTGCCACCACCTATTTGTATTTGCTTGTATTGATAACATTTTAAGGTCGGGGTAAAATCAGTTTTCTTAATAGATCACAGAGGTAACAATATTTAAAGGGTTAGGAACCACTGTTCTAGAGGTACGTAAATTCCGTCCGATATATCCTTCAGGGTGCAAAAGTTCTTTTTAATACCATCAGGTTTTTGACCTCCTCATTTGAGGTGAAGATTTTACCGTCTAAAAAATTTTGGAGTGACAGGAACAAATAATAATCCGATGGTGCCAGGTCGGGATAATATGGTGGGTGTAGCATTGTATCCCATTCAAGCTGTAAAAGCTTTTGGCGAGTGACCAAACTTGTGTGAGGTCTCGCGTTGTCTTGGTGAAACACTACACCTTTCCTGTTGATTAGTTCTGACCTTTTCTGTTGAAGTGCATCATTCAGTTTGTCCAGCTGATGACAGTAGACTTCCGAATTAATCGTTGTGTTATCCGGTAAAAGCTAAAAAAAAACGATTCCTTTAAAATCCCACCAAACAGACAGCATCACCTTTTTTTGGTGAATATCGGCTTTGGAAATGGTTTGAGCCGGTTCATCTTTTTTGCTCCATGACCTCTTGCGTTTGACGTTGTTGTATACAACCCATTTTTCGTCCCCAGTGATGATGCGCTTCAAAAACGGATCATTTTCGTGACGTTTGAGAAGCGAATCGCAGACGTCAATGCGGCGACACAGATTTCTCTCTGTGAGAACATGGGGAACCCATACATCGAGCTTCGAGGATAATCCCAGGCCTTTCAAGTGGTCATAAACTGTTGAATTTGATAAATTTAACCTCAATCCGATCTCACGTGTTGTTATTCGCCGGTTCACATCAACTAATGCCTTTATCGCGTCTTTATCAGCTTCAACCGGCCTTCCCGAACGTGGTGCATCTTCGACATCAAAATTGCCGGATCGAAATTTAGCGAACCAGTTCTGGCACTGGCGTACTGTCAACACACCTTCTCCATACACATCAGTCAATTTCTTTCTGGCTTGAACAGCATTTTTACCCTTTCTGTAGTAAAACAGTAAGATATGTCGAAAATGCTGCTTATCGCTCTCCATATTTAAAAGGGCACCAACCAAAAACTACTGCGTAGAATTAATTGGAATTTTTCACACACAAGTCTTGCTATATGAGCTCTCAAAGCATATAAAAATTATACGGCTTAAATGTGAAGTTGGGTGCAAAAGAATACAATTAAATCCTCTGTCGGGAAAAAACGAAATGACTTTCCGAACAACCCAATAGTTTAATTTTTCTTATAATGGAGACATTAAAACATTATGATAAGTTTTTCAAAATTTTCAATCGGCCGCATTACATTTATCGGCTACGGAATTTACATTGAAATATGTTAACCCGGGACAGAATTTAGGTTTGCTGTATTTTTTTTTTGTTTATTTCCAAAATTCATGAGAAGCATCCAACATAAAACTCGAAAATAGAGAAATTATAGACCACTTTAGCATATGTATAATTTATACATAAAAATAAGTTTTTATTAATTTTTCTACCTTTAAAGAGACTTTTCAATTTTTTACTATGTGTCTAGGTAATGTTCCAATTTTAGATTTATAAATATTCAAACTAATAGGTATAGGTACTGAAATTGAATTAATTAAAGACATGATTATGATTACGGATATTTTTAGACTCTGGTTGTTGACACAAAACTTAGTATCTGTTCGTTTAACATATAATTAGATACATAAATAGTTAATATAGATATTTATTGCGTAATCTAATGAGAAGGTGCCTAAGTTTCTGATTACAATTTCCTCATATACGTAAATTATTAAAAATTTGTCCTTTATATAAACAACATAGACCTACAGAATTCATTTTTCATTGCTAAAACAACAAACATACAGAGTGGGTTATGAAGAACGATAGGCTGTATATATCAATTTTTTATTGCTTATTAATATGGTTCCAACAAATGTAAAAAGATAATAACGATTATAAATGTAAAATGTAATGATTATGATCTAATTTTTTAAGAACAACGTAACGTACCAAAATACACTAGATAATTTTTTTTTGTTTTAAGGATAAGTACAATCAAACCAATAATTTAGTTACTACTTTCTAAAAAAAATTAAAGCATCATTTGAGTAGTATAGACAACTTATAAAAACAACTCTGTGGTTTATGGTTTCCATTCAAAAAAATAAATTTATAAAGTATCAGGCAGTGAAAGATGAGGGTGTCTTTGTCTTTTTTGTATTAAGTATACGGGTTAGTAGATTTATTGTTTGAGTAATAAATAATAAAGTAAAAGATTTACAATTTTAACTTTATAATCCAAAACCGGAAAAATTAAACTGAAGCACCAATTTGTAATTGTGTGATATGGGTGTACTATGTAGCTTTACACAAATATTTATCATCATATATATCAAAATTTGAGAAAATTTTGTTGAGCATGACCACTGCAATCACTTTTCATTAAGTTGAAAACACAACCAGATTTTAATAAGAAATAAAAAGAAACTGAATTGATATCTATATGTTTAATTAAATTGTGTATTATGTAGGTAAGCTTTTGTTAAATAAGTTAAACTTAAATCAAGTTAAGAGCTAAAAATAATCGATAAATCTATTAAATAAGTACTGCGTATTGTATAAATATTCCTATGAAGTGTGTAGATATATTTTAAATAGGTAAAATAGAAAGTTTAAATTATCACGTAATCATATATACTCGAAAGTTAATAATATTATAGGAATCACACATTAACAAATTAATGCATAAAACAATGAATCAAGTATCTGTATATCCGTTTCAGCAATACCGGAACGAAATCACCTTTCTACTAGTTACGATTAATTGAATGGGAATTATTATTATCGGTACGCAATATTTTCGTGAAACGCGATTTATTTAAAATATCCAAAATATTTGAATTCCATTAAGAATGTTTTGCAGAAACATGACCCGATATGTGTAAGCATTTGTCTGCTGTCGACGTTAATGTCACACAATTGGTAATACCACGTGCTTGATGGACCTTCAACTATATGGTAGACAATGCATACATATAATCTAAAATGCAGAGTGGTTGAAATATGATTTGCATATAAAAAACATAGGTTTTTCAAGCAAAATCGACTTATTTATTGCTAACTTCTTTCCGGGATGTTCTCACGTGGTTCATGGACCTTTCTTCACATCAAAATGTTTTGCCATTCCTTATTGATGGCGTCTCCAATGGTACGTTTGATGGAGCTTAGTAAGTCGGGCCTGATATCAAGTTACCACGGAAGAAGTTTGCGACTAACGGCGAAACATTAATAAAGTTTTAAAAGTGCAGAAATAAATCGGTACTTACACATAAATAAAATTGATGTAGTATACATATAATACAAGAAATATACGCCATATACTCATTGCGGTCAAACTGTAAGTTTAATCACAAAATTTTTCAAACGAAACTTATTCTTTATTTTAATACAAGATCGTCTGTGTTATCAAAATTTGATTAACTATACTTACCCATGTGAAATATTACTCCAATCGAAAAAACAAGTTGTTTAGAATGTCATACTATGCTTAACATCGCGGCGTTATTCGAATATTTTTTATCTTTTATTGACTTTGGGAATTTTACGTTGAAATGTTTTTATTTTAATTAAATACAGGTTAAATAGGGCATTTTTGTTTTTCAAAACGTAGTAGTTGTGAATTTGCATTTCCTTGTACCTCCATACCTACATCTATCCATTTGTGAACCTTTTGAGTCTTAAAAACTTTAAAATTCAATTCCTGCCTGACAAGAAATTGTATATAATTAACATTCGCCACGTGAAAATTGCTACCCGAGCCTAAGGTCAGGGTGGTTACTACACAGAGAATGGTAAAATGCATTCCTAATGTGTTACTGCATGTAAATGCGATGTTTTATCCTGAAGGAAATGTTGCGTATTCGTCTTTAAAATCAGAAAAAAATAGGGGTATGATAAAAAAAATAATAAAACAAGGACTTGCTCATTTTTTCACCAAATATTTTCGTATTATTATTCTTATCGCCCAATCCTGATATTAATAAAATTATCGACATGCGAATTGTAACGCCATCCGGTAGATTTTATTAAACGTATCGCAAGCATATTGGCGGCAAAAGTTTTTGTGTTTTTCTTTTAGTTGTATTGCCATAAAATTGATAAAACGGTTTTTGTTTGTCACTTTTATCTGAAAAACAGTAAATTCATTGTACGACATCTCCGACTGTTACTTGACCTCTGGAAAAAACTTTCTTGATAATGTCATTCAAACTTGCGTCTAGAAAATTCGAATTTGTAGCACCCAAAACTCTGTTTATTTCTCAATTTTGCATATTTTAAAATAATATTGTGAAATTGTTTTCAATAACCACAGGTATCATATTAATTTGAAAATGTGAACATTGCTTCATATACTTAGCGAAACGCCTAAACAATTCGAACAAACCACTTTCCTACCAAACAACAGCCGCAAATGCCTTCATCAAATTATCATATAAATTCCTTATACAAAACGTGTTCAGTAACGTGTTACGCCTGTTAATTGTTTAAATTAATACTGCATGTCATCATTATTTTCAATTAACAATGAAATAGTATATGAAGATTGTAAATATTCCCTTCACAGCGAAACTATTTGTAAGAAAAACGGAACAACTTTTAATGGAAAAAATTTATTTATACTTTTTACACGTACAGCTAATATACATAACAGTACAAAACAATAAGTAATTAATTATCTTTAAAATCTTGCTCGAAGCAGTCTTCTACTACGCGCATGATTCAGTCGTTCACCTTGTCTGAAAAAGAAAAAATTTGTTTATTAAAATCTAATCTTTGCTCTAGTTAGCGACAAATTTAGAAATTTAATGAAGACCGTTAAAAGTCTATGTTTGGAGCATGGCTCTGTACGGGTGCGAAACGTGGAAAAGAAAAAGCAGTAGAACAAAAACCCCTATGGGATTCAAAAGGAAAAGGTATAATGGTAGGCGGTGACTGACCCTTCAAACTATTCAAAATCTGCAATCTTATCCTAGAAACTTAGAAGCCGGCGTAAAGAGGGGCAGAGGAAAATCTAGGAGATTACTGTTAACAAATAGTTAGGGATGTTGGATGTTCTATTCTTCGGGAAAAGCAAATATTGGTTGAAGATAAGAACGAATGGAGGTGCGCGTCCAAACGGTTTTCGGATTGACGATTATGATGAATGTTTAATATTTACGATTCTCTGGATTCTTGCAGAGAAAAATTAAATAATTTTAAAAATGTGCATAAGGAGGGCCTATTCAGTAAAAATACACCATAGGATTGTAGTATCAATTTTAAGGATTTGTGTATTCTTCTGTTCATGTTAAAAACTATACTGGTTTATTATATACTGGAAAACTTAAAGGTTCGTCAAAGGACTTCCATGTAATATCCACAAATATCTGCTAAAAGATAAAGTACTACAAGTTTCGTACTTACCGTTTTAACCAATATTAAAAAGAACAATAATAATAAAACTCCTCAAAGTTACATAAAATGGACTACAGTAAATGGTTTTTGGGAAATGTATTAAAACGTCTCGAACAACGGAATCTAACCACCTTGTATATAATATACACGGTGATCGCTTATAACCGCTAGCAACATCGTTTTTTTGAGTTTAAATGAATTAATTAATAAGTTTCGAAAACACATATAACTTTATTATCTATGGCTGCTAAAAAATGCTTTTACGAGGTACGTCAACGTTTGTGTGTGATCCGTCAGTTAGCGTGCTTTTCTCGCTAATTGTAGATAAGTAAAATGTCCGGCAAAACGCGAGTTCAGACAAAAACCTCGCCGTAATCATCAACCGACCTTCACGGGTGAAAAACTCTCATATAAGCAAATCATCCGTCCATCTCCCCATCGTCCCGAAGCTCCCTAATTTGCGACAAACAAAGTAATAAATGTATGTATTGACGCACTTATCTGGAAAAAAACTGAACATAACAGCGTTTTTTCTTTCGATAAGGACTCAGGGGCAAGTGCATTATTATGTGACTGTTATGGTTTTTTTTTAAGTTCAATGATCACGTGAACATTTGGATTGTACAAACAATGCGGTTCGATAACACAGCAACGATATAACATTTCACCATACATAGACGTTACTTTATTCTACAGTTTGCATTTAACAAACAAGTATCACGTTATTACATGAAAAAACACGTGCATAACGTTGTTATCCGTCCCGAAACACGTGTTTTACGTTCCACAGAAATTTTTAGTATCAAACGTTTACAGAGTGTTCAAAAACATTTCTTCTGTGAATAAGCAATACAATGATACAGTCATATTGAAAAACAGAATATATTCTGTTTTTAAAAAGCTTGTCCCATCGTTTCCATTTATGATATTTATAACACCCGCTATATTGCTTCATGAAATACGAATTTGAATAACTGCACCATGTGATCAAGAAAGAAATTAAAATTTTATTTTGATTAAAAATTTATACAATAACAGTATCTACTGTTTTGAAACTTCCTTTTTATTTTGAAGAAGCTTAAGTATATAGCATTACCAACCCGCCCTAATCTTGGAAATGTCAATAATACGATGTGCTCGGCCCTCTTAAAAGTTCAGCACCGTTTGTAAGACGGGAGAAACGAAGGTTCCCCCTCCATCATAAAATTGAACAATTATTATTATCACGTTGTTATTAACAATTTCGACATCTTTAATACTCTACGTCCTTCTTTGTATCATTAAAAATGTAATGTAAAAATTTCATGCAAATCGGTACAGCAGTTTTCGCGTTTAGCGAGTGCATACAGGTCATTTGTCTTTATGTAGTAGTATAGGTAGTTAGGGGTCGTCCATAAAATACGTCACTCAGAATTTCACTTTATTGAACCCCTCCCGCCCCTTTCATTCCGCTCCAAGTCACACTTTCAGTGACCCCTCAACGAACATTACGTCACAAAAGTTAGTCCACTCCCCCACCCCCTTATAAAAAAGATTTTTTTTGTGAGATTAAAAATGGCAATGAGAATGACTTTCTGTCGTAATGAAAAAGTTAAGAAAAAAAATTATGAATTGCGAACGTCACATTTCCTTAGAACCCGTTCCGCTTGCCATGTCTCTCCATGCTGAGCAATACCCCTCCCTCCCCCCTTTTTGCGAATGTATTTTATGAACGACCCCTTAGTAAATAACAGTAATAAATAATACATTATACTTTAACAAAAATGCAAAAGCAAACGTGTATAATTTCTTTTCATTAAAAACGTGCTTTTATAATTAGCATTTTATTGATAGCGCATATGAACAGGTGTTTTAAGCAAAGGTTTATAAATAACAATTTCTCGTGGGTAGACATTCGTTACTTCCTGTGTTAACCCAAGTAAATAGTTAGGATATCCTTTAATTACTGCATATGCATACAGAGTTTCACTTTTTTTGTTAAATCTTACATTGATTTTATCTATTTAAACAACGCTTTTATATGTGCTGTAATATAATAGAAGAAATCATTTGAAAATGTACTGTCATGTACTGTCATCTTTGTTTTTTATTGATTGATGAAATGTAAATAGTCGTTTTATGAATAGAAAAAGGGATCTATCTCTGCTTTTGAATTAACTAATTAATTTTTTTTTTTATTTATTGTTGATTTTACTAGAAGAAAAACTGGAAATTTCAAAAACCTCAATTTTTGTTATACTACATCTATAAAATACGCCGCAAATGCCTTCATCAAATTATCATATAAATTCCTTATACAAAACGTGTTCAGTAACGTGTTACGCCTGTTAATTGTTTAAATTAATACTGCATGTCATCATTATTTTCAATTAACAATGAAATAGTATATGAAGATTGTAAATATTCCCTTCACAGCGAAACTATTTGTAAGAAAAACGGAACAACTTTTAATGGAAAAAATTTATTTATACTTTTTACACGTACAGCTAATATACATAACAGTACAAAACAATAAGTAATTAATTATCTTTAAAATCTTGCTCGAAGCAGTCTTCTACTACGCGCATGATTCAGTCGTTCACCTTGTCTGAAAAAGAAAAAATTTGTTTATTAAAATCTAATCTTTGCTCTAGTTAGCGACAAATTTAGAAATTTAATGAAGACCGTTAAAAGTCTATGTTTGGAGCATGGCTCTGTACGGGTGCGAAACGTGGAAAAGAAAAAGCAGTAGAACAAAAACCCCTATGGGATTCAAAAGGAAAAGGTATAATGGTAGGCGGTGACTGACCCTTCAAACTATTCAAAATCTGCAATCTTATCCTAGAAACTTAGAAGCCGGCGTAAAGAGGGGCAGAGGAAAATCTAGGAGATTACTGTTAACAAATAGTTAGGGATGTTGGATGTTCTATTCTTCGGGAAAAGCAAATATTGGTTGAAGATAAGAACGAATGGAGGTGCGCGTCCAAACGGTTTTCGGATTGACGATTATGATGAATGTTTAATATTTACGATTCTCTGGATTCTTGCAGAGAAAAATTAAATAATTTTAAAAATGTGCATAAGGAGGGCCTATTCAGTAAAAATACACCATAGGATTGTAGTATCAATTTTAAGGATTTGTGTATTCTTCTGTTCATGTTAAAAACTATACTGGTTTATTATATACTGGAAAACTTAAAGGTTCGTCAAAGGACTTCCATGTAATATCCACAAATATCTGCTAAAAGATAAAGTACTACAAGTTTCGTNGAAATTTCAAAAACCTCAATTTTTGTTATACTACATCTATAAAATACTACAGCTAAAAAGAATTACTTACTTTCATTCGCCCTTTCTTCCGCTCTTGCTTTCATCCTCGTGATGAATGCGGCACCCTTATTCTTTCGAAAATTTTCATAAGGATCATTAAGGTCGCAACCAACTCCTTTAAATTGATCCTGACGATCACGCACATCGCCCCCAGATATCGGTGAATCAATCCCCTGCTCGTGAGCTCCGAGACCGCTACCACCCCAACCCATCTTCCGCAGCATCTGATGACCTTTATTATTCGAGTCCAGTTGCTCTTGCAGAACATCTGATCTCGAAAAATTATTTCCGAAACTGCAAACAAAAATCGAAATCATCTTTTGCGTTTGCAATTTTGCAAAAAAGATATATTTAGCTCTTACCCAAAGGAACTGGGTGGAGACGGGGATCTTCTAAATGAATGCATTGAAGATGGTGGTGACCGCGAGCGCGACCGTGACCTGGAGGAACTAGGACTCCGTCGACTGTTCCTCCTTCTGTTTCGACTTCGGCTCCGGCTTCTGCTCCTTCTGCGATGCCTCCTCGGTGATCGCGACCTCGACCGTGATTTTTTTCTGTTAGTACTCGACGTTGTGGTTGGAGATAGGCTGCTGTAACGTCTTCGAGGTGGTGACGGTTCCTTTTCAATCGGGATGACTACCGGGCTGGGGCTGCGAGATTTCTCCCTGAGACCTGCCTTGATGGCCTCGTCCTTCTCGCGCTTAGCATTGTTCTTTGCCTTGTAGTATTCGTACAAACCTAACTTTTCCCAGCCTTCGCTGTATATGAAGTTCGTTTGTGATGTATTATTCAAAAGACGACATTATAAAAATAAATTACAATATTTACATTTAATAAAAATAATAAACATAGTACACAATCAGACGAAACTCCTTACGTACGGTATTGAACTGGAATAAAAATTATTTAGATCTTCAAATATTACCACTGTGACTGGTCTTGAATTGCAGGTCTTCTCATGTGCTGTCCATTTAATAAAACATTCAAACTTATTGAAGAATAGGAATAAAATTACACCTTTCGGTTTTTTTTGCATTTATAAGGGCAATATTAAAATGCAGATATATTTATCTAGGAATATAGAGATGCTTGGAAATTATACAGACACTGTACTTGAAAGATTAGGAAAAACTGTTAGGGGTAAACTGAAGACATGGCAGTTAAAATAACAGTTTAAATTTCTTATAATTTATCTACCCTGAAATTAATATATCAATCTCATACAAAAGTGAATGAAATAAATAAAGTGCGAATTAAAAATTGGAGGAATTTTATGTATTTTTTACATAAAATTATTATTATAACAGCCGAAAAAAAAACTAAAACTACAAATCAGTAGCAAATCTAAATTCTAAATTTTTTCTCCTAAAATCTTTCTTCAACTAATAGAATGCCTATATATGTATGCAGAATGAGGACAGGTAGCTCACACACACACATTTCATTTTCATTTTAAGAGAGAAAATATCTTGAAAATAGAATGATTTATTTTTAAAATATGTAATACACTGGCAATGTTGAATATTGTTCAAAAACTGTTTTAGTCACTTATAGTCTGAAAATATTTGATTCACGACAAAAAAGTCATTTCACAATTATAATCACAATATAATGTTCAATGTTACTCACATAATTCACTTTCACATATTGTTCTTGTCCAAAAAAAATACTCGAAAATTCACTGTACCACATTAGTAAACTATTTTATCATTTCTTTTAGACATTTTTTACCCTCATTCTGTCATATATAGACACTCCAAACGTTTTATCACAATTTTTATAATGCTGTATTGGAAAAATTGTGTGCTGTATATAAAACAATTGTACCAAATTATTTGTGTCTCACTTAATTGAAACTCTTCAATGAAATTCCGTTTTATTTCTTTTAACTCACTATTCACAAGAATGTGTTCCAACGATTAATTAAATTTTTAAAAAATGTTGAAAATTCATTGAAACCCACTAAAAGAAAGTAAAATTACACTTTTTCCTCAATCACACACTAAAAATTTATTTCACGTTAAACTTTAGAATTGCACACTTCTTATACTTCACACCAAAATAAATATTCAAAGAAGTCGTATATAATTTCGAAATCATCACTAAATCGGTAATCATCTTTTAAAAATAATAGCATCAAGCGCTATAACGAAAATGTATGTGAAACGGGGTATCATAAAAAAATTAATGAACGTGTAGAAAATGTTTGAATGCTGAAAAGAAAAAGAAAAGAATATCTGTTACCTTTGGATCGAAACATTACCTGTCTCTCGGTCTTTCGTGGCTTGGCGGTGCATAGAACGCTTCGACGGAAGCGAGAAGCCTCTCGCTGGGCGGTTGAGGTGGTGGCAACCTAATATCTTTAGGATCTAACGGTTTAAAAGAGGTGTCTTCCAACTAGAACCAGCACAGCACGGATTACAGCCACACTTCATTTTTAGTCCGTTTTTTGTAAATATGTATATCATATCTTTTTTATTAACTCTTCAAACATGAAGTTGAAATAGACTTTTTTATTTTCAACATGAATATTTGAATTTTCTATTTAACAACTGTGCTTCAGAATTCAATATTTTAAGGGACAGAAAAACGTATACGTTTTTAAACATTATTAATTTATTAACTCTTCAAAGTTTATAAAATATTCGGTAGATTAATTTTTCTAACTCACCTTTTAAATAAATATGTAATTCATAATCTCAAATTATTTTAATTTTCCTTAAAATGTGAATTCCTTCCGCATCATACCCACCCTTTTCACCCTGTTTTTCGACCCTCCCCCTCAACGCGCCTTTACAAAAATAAAGAAAAAAGTTTACGCGGCGTCACATACCTTAATCAGAGGAACCATAAGTCCTGCTGGTAGATCATAATACGGAACAGTGGGTAGCAGTTCCTCAGGCTCAGGTTTAGGAGGTTGCTGCGCAGTTGGTGGAAAACCGGGCGGTGGTTTCGAAAAATCTGGAAACATGCCGGGTGGCGGAAAAAAACCGGGAGGAGGTTGAGTAAAAGGTGGTAAAGATTCAACGGCCGGTTGACTCATACACGGTGGTGGCACATTCGGATTCATCGGCGGCACGTAACCGTTACTTTGTGCTATTGGTTGTATCGCGGAATTTGATTGATTTATCGTTGGTGGGGGTGGAGCCAATGTTATGTCATTCGGTTCAAGACAACCATTGTTCATTCTATCATTTAAGGGAGGTAATTGTTGTTGAGACATATTTTGCTGAATTTCCGCCTGTAAAGAGAACATAGCATAAATATATGATTGTCAATAGAGAATCAACGTTTTCCAACAACCAAATAAAGAATCAAAATTTAACAATTTTAACCACTAAATCCCGTAATCGTAATTCCACCAAGTGCCTCTTTATTTTACCTAAGTAAAAAAAGTACTAAATTGGCTGGCAATCCAACCCGGGCTAGTAGTACAGATATATATTCACATCATTCGCAAAGTGCTCGTCTTTAAGAACTTGAAATTACACGAATATACATGTATTCCTACAGCGTGAGCACCGAGTGACTAATGGTCCCGCACTCTACAGACTATCAATTTGATTTATTCATGCACCTCCACCCTACAATAAACACTACTTACGAATTGCTATTGAATATACAGATAACAGCAAACGCACAAAGATTTCTACAGAAACAATGCTACACATATTTACTTTATATTTAGATCACAAAGCCTAATTCATTAATTAAAACTTACAATTTATTAAATAAATAAATCTTATGAATAATCACAATGAATAACTCTTACTCTTAAAGCATCCAGTGGTATGAGGTTGCTGTGTTGGGGTGGAGGTTGAGACTGAATGGGTTGTTGTGGCCCCTGTGACTGTTGTTGAATTACCGATTGCTGCTGCTGTTCAATGGCCTGCTTCTGATTCTGCAAGTCCATAATTTGTTGCATAGCATGGCATACAAATGCCTGGTGTTGCTGTTGATACCCTTCGAAGGTCACTTTTGTTTGCTGAGCGAGGGGAGCTACTTCGTTTGCAAAACGCGCAATTTCGTCAGTTTTAAACTGTTGATAGCTAGGGGCCGGCTGTCTCATCTTGTCCACCGTTTGTGATGATAAATAGTTCGATTTCGATTCCCACAATTTTAATAGTTTTTCTAATTTTACGGCCTGGTCCTCAGTTGCACCAATACTTGCATTACACATCATCGGTACAACGACTTTTTCTAAAGCCTCTTTCAGATCGATTGCATTTTTACGAGCACTGTAAATTTAATGAAAAGTAACAATTACATTTAAATATTGCATTTTTGCTTGTGTGAAATCACGGGTTACACTTCTTTTCTGCTTGTCATTGGAGAAAACTATAAATGCAATGTTAAAAAATTAAAAAATAAACATTTTTTTTCTTATCAATGAATAACTACACAGATATCTATTTAACAATAGTAACATTAATAATGAAAAACAGAAACCAAATATTTTTTTGACTTACCAATGATGTAATACATCATTAACGAGATAAATAATATGTAACTTTTGGGAAAATGGAGCATTTCCTTGTACAACTTTGTACAGAAGACAATGGGATATACAAATTGCCCTTTCTTTACTAGTAGCATGTTGTAATATCCATGATTTTCCATTACTTATGCTGTCTTTTGTACAAGAATCAATGATTGGTTGTAATAACTTATACAACTCATTTAATTGCAAATTACACTGTTCAGCTTCTTCTTGAAGACTTGTCAACTGACACTTTGTAATTGTTTCTTCTACTTGAGCTTGTTGTTGTTGTAGAAGCACCTAAATTAACAGAATAAAAACCATTCTGTTAATGTATATTACATTTTATTTTATTGTTTTTCCACAGGTGTTTGTATGCTGGTAATTAAAAACTTAAATTTCACTCACCGTATGTTGTGCATTAAGATTCTGTTCACTTTGCTTAATTTGCTCCCTTAATGCATCTTGCTGTTGTGTTAAATGTTCTAATTCTGGACTGTCCTGAGTAATTACACTTTGAGGTTGATTCCAATCACTTTGAGGTGCAAGTCCTATACCTTGTTGTTTCAAAACTAAAAAGTGTGCATAAATAATAGATACTGAAATAAAATTAGTAAGATATTTAAAGGTACAAACAAATACTAACTAGCTTGTTCTGTTGTAACTTTGTATTGATAGTAATTAAAATACTCTCCTCCGTATAAAAATTGAAACTTTGGATTGCCTTTCTGTTTATTTTTTGTCATTTGCTCGAATTCTGGGCCATTTCGAGCTACAAATTGGGCTAATTTGTCTATTATGTTCCTAAGTTCGGTATCTGCAACGAATCATATCCTAACCTCACAGTATAACCGTATAATAAGTAAATAGAAAACGAGGTTTTATGTATACCTTGTGGCGGTTGAGGTAAATCCATTATTTATGTATTTAATGAAAAGATGAACACATTTAAAACGTCTTCAGTATTCTAATTTGTAAAATAACATTCCATATATACACTTACATACTTCAGCAAGCCCACCATCTTTCACGAGCAAAATTTTTGTAATTCGGCTTCGGCTGAACCACAGATAAGAGAATAGATTAGTGAAATGGACTTCGGCAATCGGCTATTATCGATGGTAATTCCGAATTCGGATGGCTGTGTATAATGAGCCAACAGAAAATATGAAAAGTCAATTTTTTAAATAATCGCCTATGCTAATCGTTTGTGACATAAATTTTGTTTGTAAATAATTAATTAATACTTCATAATTAAGAACTTACAAATAGTCAACATTTTATTAAAATTGATTGGAAATTTTTTGTACATTCTGAACATGCAAGAGAAAATGTTTGATTATTTTTTGAAGAGGAACGAAAAATAAATTTAGTTTTCCAGTTTCCTATAGTGCCCTTTACAGAGTTTACAAAATTTGTAAATTCTAAATATGTCAAACATGTGTTGATTTGCAGTCGATTGAATATCAGGAGTCTAATTACTCACAAACAAAGTCATTTATGTTACAAATATTCACAAAAGTTTAAAAAATTGTCCATTTATGTTTTCTGTTGGTTTGTTATACACAGCCGGAATCAGATTAATCTATATGAGGTGAGCAAGTCATAGATTAAAGATATATAATTTATCTATGTATATAATACTACTATAATATCTCTTATCTATGAGCAAGTGAAGTTATGTAGCATCTATGTGTAGCATTATGGAGGTTATAAAGTTGATGTAGTCTTCTACTCATTATAATATTTCTTAATTTTTGTAAAATAAAAGCAATTAAATGGTTTCTGTTGGACGCGAAGAGTCATCAGACTCTGACACTAATAACACGAACAAAAAAACGCAAAATAGTGGTGTGTCTCCAAAGAATACATCACTTCAGAAGAATATGTTGCATGCTGCAAGTCTTTCAGCAAAAAAGGATTTTTTGAGTAAGATGTTGGAAAAATCAGATCGTAAGTCAGCAGTATAATTTATTTAAAACAGATCTTGAAAGTCAGCACTACAGTTAACATCAACTTTTGCAGGAATAAAAGACCTCACTACACTTAACGTTAAAGATATTGAAACACCTAGAAATTGTCCCAATTCACTGCCTTTGAAGGGTATATTGAAGAAGTCATTCAGTAAGAAGTCTGATTATGAGTATTCAGATGATAGTGAAACAAACAATAATAGTGAAGGTGTTTTCACTCCAAAATTTGCCTTAACAAACATGCAGGAGGAAACTCCTAAGATCCAAAAGAATAAGAAAAATTCGAATTTTGAAACTAACAAAAGTATCAAAGAAGCATTTAAAACGAAATTAAAAATGGTTCCCAGCAAAAAATCAAGTGATTCCAATACTGACTCAGAAGATGGTAAGGGTTATAAAAGAGATTTGCCAGATATTGGAAGCCTTGATAGATTTCGAGCGATTCGGGGTAGGAGAAGAGAAGTTGATGATGATTTTGTCAAAAAATCGAAAAATAAAGCTCTAAATTCTGAGCAAGATGATTCATCAGATTCTGATGATAATTCTAATGATAATTTATATTTACAAAATTTGGTTTCAAAAAACAAACATAATAATGAAAAAAGGCATTCAGAATCTGTTTCAAAAATAAAACCATCTAATAACAAAAATAGTTCAAAAAATAAACTTATTAGCATAGAATCAGACTTGAGTGATGCTTCTAGTAGAGAAATGAAGAAAAGCAAAAGTAAACGGCAAAGTAGTTTAGAATATTCGCGCCTCGAAAACAGTGATTCAGATTATGATACAAAAACTAGTTTGGGTGTAAAAAGAAAAAATAAGAATTTGTCAAAAAATGAGAGTAAAAATAAGCGATTAAAAGTAAGCGATAGTTCTTCTGATTCCGAAGTTCACAATGAATTAAATCGTCGAAAGTCTAAACTCAAGAAAAGAGCACAAACTCCAGCAGAAAAATTACTTTTACAGTTTGAGACTGAGAGAGATGATTTAAACAAAATAGATGTATCACATTTGGATTACAGCTTTCCTAGTAAATCTCCTGATTATGAGCTGTTCATGGCTAAGATACCTAAAGATTTGCGTAGTTCCCTATCAGGAGCTAAATTGTCATTAACTACTACTACAAAAATTAATACAAATCAAGGCAAGTTTGTCTGTGTTCCAAGTGAAGTAACTGAAGGTAAAGAAGAGGTCAATTTCTTTAGTCAAGAGAATGGTGAGTTAAAGGTAAGTATTTTATATGATTACGCTCAGTTTTTCTTATATGCAATTTACAGCTTTATAATTAGGCACAAAAGCAGGAATAATTGTTTAGTATCCTTTATTTAATTTCTTTCATTGTTCAGGAATGCTTGATCGTTTTTTATTTTTTTGAAAAAAACTTGTTTTATGCTTTTTTGGTGTACATAAAAGGGTTGATAAAGTTTTAAATTGAGCCATCATTTAAATGATTTATGTGTACATTATGTATATTATAATTATGAATGAACAAAATATGTGTTTTAGATTATAACTACCAAGTTATGTGGAAAACTTAAGGCATATCAAGAATTAGAAACTGTACCTGAGATGGAAATGTCTGAAAATAAAAATCGTGTTGCTCTCCCTGATAATTTGAAACAAAGACATCCACTTTTCGGTCCAAATTATGTAGATAAAATTGAATTAAAAGAGGACATAAAACATAAATTAGAGACATCTGCATTGCCAATAAAAATAAAATCCAAGAAACATAAAAAGAATAAACAAAAAGATTTAGAAAGCCATTACCAAAGCTATGAGCACAATGAGTTGATCTTTCAAATATTAGGCAAATCTCAAGAGCAAATAGTAAGTGATGGAAATTTTTATTTCTATTAGTAATGCACTTCCACTACTTTCTATCTTCACCCAATCGCATTTCCCGAAAACTAAACCGTTTAATAATCTGCGAAACAGTAATCTTCCTCTGTCCCTCATTACTTTCGTTTCTGCTTCTAATATGTCTCTAATTGAGGTGTCCTACCATCCTACGTTTCCTTTTCCTTATAAACATGCATAGCTCCCTCTTTAATTTTTTTCAGTACCTTCTTCTTTCATCATCCGCCTATAACACCACATTTCAAGTGCTTCTAGCTTTTCCTTTTTACTTCGTCCATTGTGCATGTTTCGCACTCCTTACAGAACCGTCTCCAAACACACATTTTTGATATTTTCCGAATTTCTAACCGTTCGTTGATCTTTGTTTTTTGAAAGGTACTATCCCTACACTTTTTTTTTTCGAAAATCGGCTTCGATTACCTTTCAATCATGTTTATATCAATAAATTATATAAATACAAGTTTTATGGTAGACGATATTTCAGAGTGACGCCCATTACAAACGTAATGAAAAATCTAAGAAGGAAATTACTGAAAATATGGATATTTTGGAATATTTAAACAAAAACGTTTTCAACGAACGAGAAAAAAAGAAAAAGTTAAAAGAAAAGACGCCTGAAAACAGCATAAATAAAAATGATCTTGATATTGATAATGTCGAGGAAAAAAAACGAAAAAAGAAACGAAAAAGAGAAAATGAATATGAAGATTCAAGTGACATAATAAAAGACCATAAAAGAATGAGAATGACTATGAGTTCAGAAGAAGAGCCAACAGATGGCATAGATAGTTTTAAGGTGAAACATAAAAAGAACAGGAAAAGTTGATTTAAAATAAAGTAATTGTTAATGTTAAAGATTTTATATTAATAAGACCTAGATAAAAATGAAAGATAATTTTTGTTACTTACGAATGACGAACGCATTTCTTTTTTATTTTCTATTTATTTATTTTTTTATTCAATGTTTATGTTTTTTAATTTTCCTTAAAATGTGAATTCCTTCCGCATCATACCCACCCTTTTCACCCTGTTTTTCGACCCTCCCCCTCAACGCGCCTTTACAAAAATAAAGAAAAAAGTTTACGCGGCGTCACATACCTTAATCAGAGGAACCATAAGTCCTGCTGGTAGATCATAATACGGAACAGTGGGTAGCAGTTCCTCAGGCTCAGGTTTAGGAGGTTGCTGCGCAGTTGGTGGAAAACCGGGCGGTGGTTTCGAAAAATCTGGAAACATGCCGGGTGGCGGAAAAAAACCGGGAGGAGGTTGAGTAAAAGGTGGTAAAGATTCAACGGCCGGTTGACTCATACACGGTGGTGGCACATTCGGATTCATCGGCGGCACGTANTTATTGGAAATAAACAACAAGCGTCTGAGGAATAAACAAAAGTAAAAAAATCCAATTCAATAGTTATTATGTAGCTAGTAATTGGAAATCATTTACAGTAACACTTGCCACCAACCACCCTATATCCCAGGAGTCATATATAGCGTTTTAGGGCATTATGACTCGGAGTCCCAGGAGTCATATATAGCGTTTTAAGGCATTATGTCGTCAATATTTTTCTTTTTATAATTATGATTTGAATTTGTTGAATATTCGAGAAAATTTTAGTATTTTGTATGCATAATTTCAATTTCAAAGTAGCTACAGATTTTTTTACATTTTATTTTAAATTAAGTATGTATATTAGGTCTTATACGTAACACGTAAACCTGTGTTAAATGCAATATCATCTGCTTTAACATTTATCTATTTAAATGTGTGCAAATGGCGTGGTCTCTTGTCTTGGATATTATTTTCGGCGTCATATGACCTTGTCCTTGAATCACATTGATTAACCTCTAATGCCTACAGCTTCAACTTTGTCCAAAGTGACATCACCCGAGCGGCTACCTATTAAACTAAGTTGTACGTAATCGTATTTATGTGTACACCAGTATTATTACATTATTATTTATGAAAATGTTTATTTACTAACTAACGTAAATAAATTTTGTAATAATTCGTACAACCAGGCCACAGGATCTGTTTACTTAAGTTAACTGAAGCGTAATTTAAATTAAAGTATTGCCGTATTGATTACGCCTTTATTATACTTTTAACAAATACGCAATATCTAACATTTAATGACGTATATATTAATTTTCGAAGTACCTAGAAAGTTTCCAATAATATTTTTTTACAATTAATGTTATTTAGGTATAAGTAAAAATCAATAATAGAAATCACATCATTTAATAAATCATTTTGTTCCAGGTGATCTTCAGCGAAATACAGAATCAAAATCTTGGCTCGTTTTAATATATCATTTGCCACGATGGCGATGTGCAGGGTAGCTGCAGTGAAATAAAGGTAAGCACTTTTTTGTCACTATTCCCTTTACCATATCCACGATAGGTAAGAAACTTAATAAATTGTCTCAGAACGTCGAAACAATGTTTTTTCGAGAAATACCTACTTATTTCATAAGTTCATGTATAATTTCTAGAAGACTGACAAATACGCACTGGAGTCATACATTAACATTAAGGATACACATTAAGGATGTTTGGGAGGTATGTCAAAATGCTACGAAGCAAATAAAAATTTGGAAGAACGTTCCTCATTCAATTCTAAAACTCGTGTAAAAATTACAAATCGATTCACTAAACCGTTAAAAAGTTATTGAAATTTTAAATTTTACACGTCATTTTATGGAGATTCGTTTACCGAACAGATTAAATTTATTTTCATTAACAGAAAAAAGTTACCAGAAATTTCAAACTTTTATAATAAGTAACTTTAACTCTGGAGAATCACTTTAGCGTAAGGTTATTTAAATTCACTAAATGGTTATCGAAGAAAAAATGAAAAATTAGCTGAAAATCTCGTTTTTACTTGATAATATAATGATAATAT